TCAATCATGATTCTTTTTGTATTCTATCCTTGCATGATCCGAACCAGCAGGAAGATTTACCTCCAGGCTCCATCACACTGCAGCACTTGCATCAATCATGATTCTTTTTGTATTCTATCCTTGCATGATCCGAACCAGCAGGAAGATTTACCTCCAGGCTGCATCACACTGCAGCACTTGCATCAATCATGATTCTTTTTGTATTCTATCCTTGCATGATCCGAACCAGCAGGAAGATTTACCTCCAGGCTCCATCACACTGCAGCACTTGCATCAATCATGATTCACTTTGTATTCTATCTTTGCATGATCCGAACCAGCAGGAAGATTTACCAGTCTAGTTTGAATGTACTTTGGAGCTTTAAAATATACAAATACAGAGGTCTAGCTAGTCTAGCATCATCTTAAACTGACAAAATCACAGTTGGTGAATAATTATCATAACTTGTGTAGTCTAAACTTAAACTAAAACTAAAACTAAACTTAACTAGCTTGGGAACTCAGCATTGTCTGGAATTTTCCTTATAAAAGTAAACCCGCTTCACAAAGCCAAGAACATTTCCTTGGTTCTACCGAGTTCCTCCTTTGCAAATTTGAGGCTAATCGGTTAGAGGGTTCATGAGTTATTATAGGACTTAAAACAGAGATTATTACTGTTTATATAAAATGAATTTTACTTTTACTATATATATATTACTTTTCGAAAATATAGAAATATAGATGGTTATATAATTCAACTCAACCCCTAATATCCTTAAATTGAAACCCTGGATATCCTAGAAATCCTAGTATCCTAGTATCTTAGAAATGGTATTCTGAAACTAAACCCTGGAAGTATCCTGAAACTAAACCCTTGAAATATCCTGAAACTAAACCCTGGAAATATCCTGAAACTAAACCCTAGAAATATCCTGAAACTAAACCCTGGAAATATCCGGAAACTAAACCCTGGAAGTATCCTGAAACTAAACCCTGCAAGTAAGATGAAACAAAACCCTGGAAGTAAAGATGAAAATAAACCCTGGAAATATCCTGAAACTAAACCCTGGAAGTAAAGCTGAAACTAAACCCTGGAAGTAAAGCTGAAACTAAACCCTGGAAGTAAAGATGAAACTAAATCCTGGAACAATTTTGAAACTAAACCCTGGAAATATCCTGAAACTAAACCCTGGAAGTAAAGCTGAAACTAAACCCTGGAAGTATAGCTGAAACTAAACCCTGGAAGTAT